TTTTGCCCGGCGCCTTCCCCTCGGCGCTCTCGCCTTCTAATCCCAATTCTTTTTTTTTTTCTTTTTTTTTTTTTGTCTGATTTCACTCTCAAGGTATTTAATGCACATTATAACTTAACTCGCCATATGCCGGTGCACACGGGAGCCAGACCCTTTGTTTGCAAAGTTTGCGGGAAAGGCTTCAGACAGGCGAGCACGCTCTGCCGGCACAAGATCATCCACACCCAGGTGAGCCTCCATCCCTCCCTCTCTCCCTCCCTCCTCCTTCCCCGAGACCCCTTCGCTTACGCTTTTTGGGGAGCCCGGCGTTGTCCGGCCGCACCGAGGCGGTAGCGGGGCGCGGGGGGCGGCTGAGCCGGAGCCGCTGGGGGATTTCGTTTGCCCCGAGCGCGGTGGGCGTCTGTATTGGACACTCTGAAGTCAAATACAGGTCTTGCTCCTGAGGGCAGGCAGCAGTTTGTACTGTGTGCTGGTTTGGGGGACAGTTGCATTTGCTTCTTTTCCACAGTGTCAAATGAGAGAAGCTGTGAAGCTGGGGTTTGCTGGTGGCTGTCCTGATTGGGGAAAGAGCAAAGTTTCTGAGTCTCTTTCAGTGAAGCAGAGTATGTCGCCTTTGGAGCTTTCACGCTAATGTTTTCAAGTCTAAAGTGATTTGCCTCAGTCTGAAAGTCCGGTTTTAAGTATTTCTCCTACTGCTTATTGTAAGAGAAGCTGTAGTGAAAATCTAGAGAGGAAAAAATGATGGCTGAATTTGAAACATGTTTTAAATGTAATTACAATTGTGGATATATTTGAGTATTTTAAATTTAGTCAAATAAATTTACATGCAGATTGGATCTACGTGGCTTTTCAGGAACTCTTCCAAAGTCCTTGCTTTAGGACTGTTAAGAGTAGCTGGTTTTCATTTGCACTAAAACCACACTAGTTTGGGTTTGGGTTTTTTTTTTTTCTTTTCCCTCCCCTCCTCTTCGCAGTGTCCAGCTCTCAGCCCCGGGTCCCTTTGCCCTTCTTGTGTCGCTCCCAGGCAACTACAAAAACCACAAGCTGACTCACAGCGGGGAGAAGCAGTTCAAGTGCAATATCTGCAACAAGGCTTTCCACCAGGTGTACAACCTGACCTTCCACATGCACACCCACAACGACAAGAAGCCCTTCCCCTGCCCCACCTGCGGCAAAGGCTTCTGCAGGAACTTTGACCTCAAGAAGCACGTCC